TATTTTATTTGCTCAATGCTTTTTTCCCCCCCTTCCTTTTGCTGGTGCTGGGGATTGAACCCAGGGCTTTGTGCATGCTAGGCAAGCACTCTATCAATTTAGCTATATCCCCAGCCCTGCTGCTTGTGTGATAAATCTGATAAAATTCTTAACATTCCATTTGTTCTATTATTCAATTGAATGCTTTGATAAATTGTTTATTATTATAAGAACAGTAGATGCTCTTTGGGAAAAAAAATGATTAGATGATATGGAAATAGATATAACCCTAAAAAGCAGCTTCTCTATAATTCTTTGGGTATGAGTAAAAATATTACTTCAGATTAATTCAATACATACACAGTTCTTTTGCAACTCCATTCACTTGGGTATGTCTTAGACTTGTATTTCAAGGATTCATTTCTACTTTTAATGCATGTCATAATTTTCTGTTGATAATTTTTGCTTGTTTTGTAGTTTTTTAAAAAAATATTTTTAAAGTATTAATAGGAGAAGCAAGTACAAAGTACACTGAAAGGGCCTCAGCAATGAGACCCCAACAGCAGTGAGCACTTCTAGCATCCAGATCTTGGTTTCTCTATAAAGAAGAACAAGAGGTCCTTGGAGAAATGGTTCATTCTAGAGTTGGGGCAACGAATGTACAAGATGAGCCTAGAATGTACAAGATGAGGTATGCTATAGAATACCTGACCAGTGTGCCTTAAAACTGTCAAAGTGATTAAGAACAGTGAAAGTCTGAGAAACTATCATAGCCAGGGGGTCATGACTCCTAAATGTAATGGGGTATCCCAAATGGGATGCTGAAATGGAAAAAGTTCAATAAGTGAAAATAAATAAATCTTAATAACAATGTGGATTTTAGTACTGATTCATTGATTATTGCAAAAATACCGTAGTGATGTAAAATGATATTATGGGAAGTGTGGTATGAGGCATGTGGGAACTCTTTTTTGCAAATCAGAGTATTTTTTAAAATTTATTTTGAAATTTACAACTCAACAGTGAGTTTCTTACAAAGCAAATACCTTCAATTCCCCAGGTTAAAAAATAAAAAACATTGCCAGTTGGGGGCTGGGGATGTGGCTCAAGCGATAGAGTGCTTGCCTGGCATGCGTGBGGCCCGGGTTCGATCCTCAGCACCACATACCAACAAAGATGTTGTGTCCSCCAACTAAAAAATAAATATTAAAAATTCTCTCTCTCTCTCTCTCTCTCTCTCTCTCTCTCTCTCTCTCTCTCCTCTCTCACTCTCTCTTTAAAAAAAAAAAATTGCCAGCATCTTAGAAGTCATTTTTTTATGCTCTTAATTCTTTAGTTTCCTCAAATTGCAGTTAGCTTTTCACAAGACACTTTTTGTATATTTTGAATTTTCTATAAATTGATGCATCCACATTGTGGCATGTAGCTATAATTCATTTTTAGTGTCATATATTTCATCATGAGAACATAAAATTTTTCCATATTGTTGATGTGCAATTTTAGGTTGTGACTATTCAAGCCCTTTTATCTCTTTTATGTCTTTAACTTATTGATGTTTAGTTGTTTACATATTCAAGATATATATTGTCAGTTTGGGTTGGAAATATTTTCTTTTATTTTGTGGCTTTTTTTTTTGGTATTAGAGATTGATCTCAGGGGCACTTATTACTGAACTGCATCTCCATTCCTTTTTAATTAATTTATTTATTTAAAATTTATATTGAGACAGAGTTTTGCTAAATTGCTGAGGCTGACCTCAAACTTCTGATGCTTCTGCCTCATTCTCCTGAGTTGCTGGGGTTATAGTCATGTGCCACAATGCACAGCTATATTTTTAATTTTCTATTACTAATCTTGAAATTCTTTAGTGTCATTCAATTTATCAGTGTTTTTTTTTTCTTTTTCCTGACGATTGATGCTTTCTTAAGAAATCTTCCCCCAAGATGATGAGGTTGTTTATATTAACTGTCTTTCTTTTTCCCCTGTGTGTTCAGGGCCTTACTCAGTAAGATTTTCCCACCCAGGATTAGCAAATTACTAGAGATAAACAATTCTTTACTCTCAGTGCTGGCCAGCTAATCCAGAGCCCATTCTACCAACCAACTTTATCATTGGCCGGTCAAATTCAGGACCATTAACTACCTGACTTAATCACCTCAGAGCCCAGTATCAAACAACTAGGGACAGTCCCTAAATCACAGCTTGTGAAATTATTTACACAAGCCAATCCTGAGACAAGGCTTTGTTGCCCTGGCTGGCCTCATGGTTCTCCTGCCATAGCCTTCCAAGTAACTGGGATTACAAGTGTGTTCCCCCACATCCAGCATGGACATTTTCATATTAAACTTGTCCCCAAAAAAGGTGAATTTTTTTTACTCTTGCCTGCAAACACTTCTAATATTTAGTTTCACAATCATTTTATAGTTTTGTCATACATCACTTAGATTTGATATTTTTAATAGTATATTTTTAAAGTTTCATACTTGCTGATATGATTGACTTTTCTACATTGACTTTGTAATCTTCAAAATCTAATTATTTGTGTATACAACTCACCATCTATGAATTATTTCTTCTTTTAGAATATTTTTGTTCTTAAAATATTGTCTAAGATCTCCAGTTCATTACAGGGTTTCGTGAGAGATGGTAGAGKGTATCTTTGTTTCATCTCACAGGAAAATCTTTCAAAACTTCTATTAAATATTTTTACAATAGCATCTTTGTAGATTTGGATACCCTTACAAGAAAGAAATTAAAAAATTTTTAGAAATTTTGATCTTGATGTTTTTGTTGCTTGATTTCACTAGTGTTTTGTTTAGGATTTTCATGTGTTCATGAATGAGAATCTTTGTAGGCTCTGCAGTTTCCTTTTTCTCATTCATTATATGTGGTTTTTTTCCTTTCTAAAGTTAAGTCTTGCTATAGAAAAATTTTATTAGTATTTTTAAACACTCAACTTGGTATTGCTTCTGTTAGGCTTGTTTTAAGTTTTCTACGTATGATAGATTGTTTTATACATTTTGGTTAATCTCTTTTCCTAATGGGAGGGAGATAGTAGATGCTGAATGTGCCCTCTGAAAATTCACATGTTGAAATTGTAATCCCCAAGGTGATAGATATTAAGATGTGGGGCTTGGCAGGGGTGTGATTAGCTCATGAGGATGAAGACCTGAGTGGGATTAGTGCCTTTACAAAGGAAGCTTTAGGGAGTTGCCTTGCCCATTTCTACTATTTGAGGACCAGAGGTGCCATCTATGAGGAAATGGATCCTCACTAAGACACCACCTTGATGTTGGGACTTTCCAGAATTGAAATTTGTTTTGCAGTATCAGGAACCTAACCCAGGGTCTCAAGCACACTAAATAAGTGAGCTGTACTAGTGAGCTCTATCCAAAGTCCAAGAAGTTTGTTTGTAAGCCACCTAGCTTATGATAGTTTGTTACAGCAATCTAAAAATAGGAGGCTGTTTTGTTTATCCTATGTACTTGGCTCATTGAATTTCTAGCCTTTTTAATATAGCATTTAAGGCTATAAGCACTTTTTTTTTCCTGAACCCAAGTTTTTACATATAGTATTTTCARTTAAAGATCCTTTGTTATTTTTTATTCTGATAAACAAATTACAGGTCAAATAGAACCAGGAGACATGAAAGAAAAATTAACATTTTCTAGGCAGGTGCTAATTATCTCCATTTTACAGATGCAAACAGACTTCCAGAGGCCTTATACTGGTAGTAAAGGCAAAGGTTCTCTAGGAGGTAAGAAAGCCACCTGAAGTTTACATCTGAGACATAGTTCTAGAATAAGAATAAAAACCATTTTCTTGAAGTTGGTAGCAAATTGCTATAATCCTGTGTTGACTTACCCAGACTAAAGGCAGGGGGTGGAGGGTGGGGGGGAAGCATGCGGGATTATTTTGTTCCAACTATAGGAACTGGAACTTTTCAATGAAAAGTATCAGTTTGTTTTTTCTTTTTAATCCACTTAATGCTTTATGGCTTATAAACAGGAACTGCTAGTCCTCCTATTAAGAATGGGCACTCTGTTAATTTAGCAAAGACACAATATACAAGTCAGAATGAGGATGGTAACACTATTGAGTGTCAGGATACAAAATTATACATTAGATTTCTTAATTAACTTTTCAATTTGCTTTCTTGGCACTTTAATTTTTAACATTATAGCCAAGTGTGAGTACAACAACTAGATTCACAATTACAATTCAGTAATTTTGAAAATTTCAAGGCTGTGGCAGATAGAAACTACTGATACAAATCAACTTTGTTTTACAGATTAACAAAATAAGGTCAAGAAAGGGAAAGTAATATACTTGCATTCACTCAAGAAGTTTAACAACAACACTCAAATCAATTAGAGTATAAAGTAAGATMATGCTGAGACTATTCAGTATGAAAATTATCTTTTATTTTGTACTGTCTTACTTGAGTTCTATTATTTTTACAAACCTTGAAATGCAGTATAGATTAATAAATAAAAACTAAAAAAGGGATCAGTACAGAAAATACAAGCCAAAGAATCAAATTACCCAAGGAGCTATTCTATTGAGTCATTTTTTTCTTCAAGTTCTAGTGACCATTTATAAGTACATCAGCCAAAACAGAAGCAAATGCAGGCTTTTGCACTGTATAAAGTGCTAATTTTAATAGATCCATAAAAATATGTAAGAACGATCATTAGTAAAAGTTATGGTCATTCAATTCAAATTAATATTAGATAGTTTACAACATTTATAGTTAGTGTTTTAACTCTGTATGAGCAACATCTAAGGGCCTGCAGAGCTAGTTTTTTAAACTTAACAGAAAATCCAGTATAATACTGAGTGCTTATCATGCAAATATAAAATAGCCTTAAGAAGTAATTCAAATGTTAACAATACTATGGTCCTACAATAGGCCTCTTTCAGAGACTAGTAACTGTAGATCATCATAGTAACTATATAAATGTATCAAATAAACAGAACAGTTACACAAACCATACATGGTGAGGTGGTCATGAACGTGATCACTGGCCATCTAGTTCTAAAGCTTCAACAATGTGTGCAGCAGAGGGACGATCTTTAGGATCTTCATTAGTGCATACAGAGAAGAGTTCAATTACTTTCTGGTAGGATTCATCCAGTTCTTCCATATTAATAGGTGGCCGGGTTCCCAAAGCTGCATAATATGCCTCATCATTGAAGTCATCTTCATCAAAAGTTTTATCTGCTCACAAAGGAATTAGAGATTGAAATAAGCTAAACCATTTGAGGTCATGGAAAAGCTTAATAGCTTACCTTCTTAAAGTAAGAACTTATCATCCAATATAGTTTCCATTATACCACAGGCAATCTCTTCAGTTAACATGCCATTGAGTAGATTACTATTGTCTTAGATTTTTAGGCTACCAACCCATACTCCTCCTATGACAACTTTTCAGTATTTTCTTCTCAAGCAAGGGGAGTTTTTAAGGTAACTTTGTTCCTCTAGATTTAACTCAGGGGCTCTCAACCTCTGAGTGAGTCCTATTTTTGTGTTTTTTTTAGAGACATTGATGAGGCTGGCTTTGAACTTACAATCCTCCTGTCTCAGACTCCAGAGCTGCTGGGATTATAGGTATGAGCCATTTTGCCCTTCCTAGACCTAAATTTATTTCCCTATTTTCGATCAATCTAAATCTCAATTATGTGAATTAAACATAACCAAATTAATCACTAGTATTAATGTACTATGTACGTTACAAACTATCTACTAAGTCAAACATCTTAATGTAATTATATAAATGTATAAGCTAATCTTCAATGTGAAGCAAAGACATTGATTTATGTTCTATTCATACCACTGGTCTGGGGGTGTAGTTCAGTGGTAGAGCATTTACCTAGCATGTGCAAGGCCTTAGGTTGGATTCCTAGAACTGAAAACAACACAATAATAATAAAACTGTACCTTCATCATCATCATCATCATCAAAATTAAAGTGTGGAATAGATAAAGTCATCATTTCCCACAGAGTAAGGCCATATGCAAATATGTCTGCCTTATCAGTAATAATGCCATTTTCCTCCAAAGCTTCCTTGGGCTTCCACGGCTCAGTACCAATGTAACAGGCCTCAGGATCGGTCACTGAAATAAGCAAAAATGCAAATAAAAGTTATGAGGGCAGGCATTAGAAATCCCTAAGAAGAAAAGCTACGCAATAAAAATGGGCAAATGGTTCACAGGCTAATCATATCCAGCAGACATGAAAACACATTCAACTTCATTGATAAGGTACTTTCCCTGTATCAGAATGTTAAATTTCAAAAAGTGATCAGTTGTCAAGACATAGGGAAACAATTCTCTTAGAAAATGGTAGGAATATAAATAGATTGTGGATAACAAGATTTCATACTCTAGAGCAAGACTGCCTCATCAGAATTCAAATACATGCAAGCTGTCAGCCTTGGGCAGATACCTAATGGGCCTCAGGTTCTTTGTYTTGTGAACTTGCTGTCATAGAACGGAGGATGAAATTTCATTTCAATGCTTTCATGATTGCTAAGTCAGAAAATAGGGAAAGGGTCAAATCATACACTGGCTCTGCTTAGGAATGACACAGGTCCACTCACATTTCTATTTAAATTTTAGAGTCAATTCATCAATTTCATCTATAATTCTGACTGGGAATAGACTGAATCTCTACGTCAATTTGGGAAGAATTAACATCTCAACAGTATTGAGTTTTCCAGTCTATAATTGCAATAYTTCTCCACTTAGTTATATATATTACTTAATTCTCTCAGTGATGCTTTATGGTTTTCAATATAGAGACCTTAGACTTGTTAGATTAATTCTTGATTATTTTTTGAGTTTGACACTTAAAAATGGAATTTTTATTATTGATAATATACAGAAATAGCTAACTTTACTTTTTCCTAATGGTTTTATAGATTTCTCTAATGTTCAAAAGAAATCAACAGTAGAAACATTTAGCTCTTGAGTTTTCCTTGTGGGAATGTTTCTTTAATAGATGTAAGGCTATTTAGATTCCCTATTTTCTTCCTATATCAATTTTTGTAATATTTTTTTTGAGAGAGAGAGACAGAATTTTTTAATATTTATTTTTTAGTTTTTGGCAGACACAACATCTTTGTATGTGGTGCTGAGGATCCAACTCGGGCCGCACGCATGCCAGGTGAKCGTGCTACCGCTTGAGCCACATCCCCAGCCCCTTGTAATTATATTTTTAAGGTAATTGTCCTTTTCATTTTAAGTTATCCAATTTAGTGGTATAAACTGTCTTATTCTTTATATATGTGTAGAATCTATAGCTGTATTTCTTTTGCATTCCTGACATTGTTTTCTCTTTTTTCCTGATCAGTCTATAGGGACTTATAACTTTTATTATCTTTTCTATGAACCAGCTTTAGGCTTTACTAATATTTTCTAGTGTTTATTTTTTCTTCTGATTTCTGTTCATATATTTCTTATCCCTTTCTCTGGTCTCCTTTGGATCTGTCTTGCTCTTTTCTAGCTTGCAAGTGAATACAGGTGATTCATTTAGAACTTTTTTTTTTTTTTTTTTTTTAACTATAGTCACTAATAGCTACAGATTTCCCTCTAGGCCCTGCTTTAGCTTTTGCCTCACATATTTTAATGTTGTATTTCCTTATTATTTAATTCAAAATACTCTCCAATTTCCCTTATTGTTTTCTTTGGCCCATAGGTTAAATTTTTGTTGTTAAATTTCCAAATACATCTTAGTGGTTTCTAAATTTTTATTTATATATGACAGAATGCATTAGAATTCATATTACACATATAGAGCAAAATTTTTCATATCTCTGGTTGTATACATAGTATATTCACACCAATTCATGTCTTCATAAATGTACTTTGGATAATGATGTCCATCACATTCCACCATCATTTCTAACCCCCTGCCCCTTCCCTTCCCTTCCCAGCCCTCTGTCCTATCTAGGGTTCATCTATTTCTCCCATGTTCTCCCTCCCAACTATGAATCAGCCTCCTTATATAAGAGAAAACATTCGGCATTTGGGTTTTTGGAATTGAATGGTTTCTAGATTAATTTTGTAGAATTTATAAATTTTCTATTCATTGCTGTTTTCTGCTTTTCTTAGGGTTTCATTTTTTTGTTTATTTTTATGTGGCGCCGAGATCGAACCCAATGCCTCACACTTTCGAGGCAAGTACTCTACCACTGAGCCACAACCCAGCCCCTCTTAGGGTTTCATTTTTTAAAAATATTTTTTTAGTTGTAGATGGACACAATATCTTTTTTTTATGTGGTGCTGAGGATAGAACCCAGTGCCTCACACATTCCAGGCAAGCTCTCTACCACTGAGCTATAGCCCCGCCCTAGGGTTTCATTTTTTTAAGTGTAACTCAATTTCATAATAATGAAAAAGTTTCCCTTTGAATAGTTTTAACTATATTAACTAGGTTTTGATTTGTTGTAAATTTGTATTTTTTGAATATTTTCTAACTGGAATTTGATTTTTCCTTTGGGCCAACCAAAAATTATTTACAAGTGTTTTAAATTTATAAAAAAAAATAGTTTTTATTTCCAATTTTGCTACATATTTCTAGATTTACAGCACTGACATCAACACATGCCAACTACTACACTACTTTTATAATCTGAAGTTTTCTTTTGTGACCTAATAATACATGGCCAATTTTAATATTAATTTCCCCCTACCCCTGTAATAAGGACTGAACCTAGGTGTGGGCTTTCACTGAGCTCCACCCCCAACCCTTACTAAGTGTTGAGACAGTGTCTCACCAAGTTGCTGAGGCTGCCCTAGAACTTGCCTCATTCTCCTGAATTGCTGGGATTAGAGGCATTGCTAGGATTATAGGTGTGCGCCATCTGGCATTTTTGATAAATATACTAATACAAAGAGTTTAATCATATTATTCAGATTCCTTACTTAGTTTTGTCTACTTGATTATTAAGTTTTGAGAAAATGACATTTAAAAAAATCTCATTTTTATTATCTTTCAAGAATTTCTTTTTTTCCCAAAGTTTTGACTTTGTTGTAGTTATTTAGCATAAGGATACAGGACAATTCTATTTTTATTAATTATAGATATCATTATAGTCACTATTTATTCTGGCTTTTGCCCTCAATTCAATTTGTAAACTTGTTTTATTCTAATTACTTATACATGATAGCAGATGCATTTTGATTCATTGTACACAAATGGAGCATAACTTTTCTCATTTCACTGGTTGTACACAATGTAGAGTTGCACCACATGTGCAGTTATACATGTACCTAGGGTAATGAACATCACCTCATTCCACGATCATTCCTACCCACTCCCGCCTGTATATATATATATAAAGGTCCTTTCTTAAGGCTGACTCTTGGTTCTCACCAAGACATCTTAAATTTCTGAGAATGATCAGTATTTATAATGCAGAGGGAAGAATGGGTTGGGCTGGGCCAAAAAGCAAAAAGCAGAAAACTGATTTTTACTAACATTCCTCTTTCCTAGTTCCACTCCAGTTTCTTCGAGCAGTTTCCCAAATTTCATCACATTATTGAAACTAAGTGAGTCCCTTTCAAAAATCTTGTTAAAAATTTTTATTTTCCATTCTAAGATGTTTTATATTTTAAAAATCTCAATCCATATTAGAAATCTTTCCCAAACCTATCTTCACTTAAAACTAATAACATATGTGGCAAAGGAGGGCCCTAAGTCAAAGTGAGATAGAAAAGTAGGGATACTTTTTATTATATATTTTTCAAAATTTGTTTTAAATCTTTGAAGCATGTGAATTTACAATGTATTTTTACATATAAAAATCAGGAATTTTAAAGTTATTTAAAACAGTATTACTTACCAGTCATATTTTCATCCAATGGTAGAGAGACTCCTACATCACAGATTTTAATTGTTTCAAAATCACCTTTAATTACAACATTTGAAGACTTTATATCTCCATGAAGCAGTTTCTTTTCTTGGTGTAAATACTAAAATTGTAAAAAATCAATACCCATGAGCAGAAGTACAACTTAATCGACATATGTAACCTTTAGGACTAGAGATGTAGCTCAGTGGTAGAACACTTGCCTAGCATTCACAAGGTCATGGGTTCAATCCTCAGCACCACAAGAAAACAAATTTAAAAAAGAAACCTTCAAATAAAACTGAAGGGGATGGGGATGTGGCTCAAGCGGTAGCATGCTCGCCTGGCATGTGTGCGGCCCGGGTTCGATCCTCAGCACCACATACAATGTTGTGTCTGCCGAGAACTGAAAAATAAATATTAAAACAAATTCTCTTCCCCCTTCCCTCTCCTCTTTCTAAAAAAATTAAAAAACAAAACAAATAAAACTGAAGTTCAGTGACTTGAACTCCCTTCCTAAACTATAAACTTATTCAACCATAATTTCAAATTATTTGAAGCCAGAGAAGGGAAAATCTCTCAGATAAATCTGAAAGATTTCTTAAAGATAGATGTCTAAGTATATGTTAACTTCTTTGTATTTTCAAACCCATCCTATGTATTTACATATCAGAAGGCGCTACTGCAGTTTTCCAACTTCAATTTTACTTGAGGCTAGTATTTTGGAAATAATTTTGGAATCTTCCTCAAATTGTACTTGACAATAATAATACATTGTAAAATGATCTGCARAATGGTTATTTGTTCATTCATCAGTATTTGAACATTTCTCTATGAGCCCAGCTTAGAAATGAGACCGTTTCTTGCCTACGTCCCACAGGGGTGGTGGAATTTGGGTTTCTTCTGTGTGTAATCAGCTGGCTGCGAAATAAAGCTAAGAAAGAAATAGCAAAGAAACCACAGGACACAGGAAGTCATTTTAGAAAGGTGGGGTAGCAGGTGGCTCTCCCTTCCTAGAGATCAAGCTTCCACACTGGAAAGAGTGAGAGCCCATATGTGCTTTATTTATACAGGGGGAAGCATCAAAGGTTTTCTATGGGATGTTCTTTGCCAAATAAGGTAGGAGGCGGGCTGTCCAGTTTCCACCAGGTTACGCCCTACTCTGGAGCTACAAAAGCAGTTTCCCTAGTGGAGGAAAATAGGTCATGTCCATTGTGCAATCCATTGAGTGGGAGGAGCCACAAAATAGTTTGCAAAGTAAAACCTAATGGCTAAAGGCCGAGTGAAGACTTCAAATAAACTCAAATAATTAATTCATGGGTGGTGTCCCACAACTGTTCTTGGTGTAGATCTGCTGTTTACACAGGTATGTTTACATACTTAATTTAAATGCAATCCATCATAGAGTGAATAGGCCCAAGTATATTTACACTATTAATTTCATTATTCATACACATCAAAAATATTACTAAACAATTCAGATTTTAAATTTATTCTATTTGAAATTAGGTTCTTTATAAAGGTATTAGAATATTTAGGAACATTGCTTTTTTTTCCTAATCTGTTTATCAATTTCATTTGAACTTTTAACATGCAACTTTGGCATCAGTATCATCATTACCTGACCCAATTTTGAATCACCCAATAGTTTTTTGGAGCCAATGTTACTTCTGTGTAAATGATTTATCCAAAATTACAATAATTTCTTTGCATAACACTGAGAGTTTTCTTCATTGAACCTATATGTGTATACCCATGATACCCAAAACTTAACATCACACAAAGTAATCCATAGGGGGTTTGCTTATATCAACAGGGGTTTAGGCTATGCCTCCAGGAATAATTACTAAATTTGTGTTAACTAAGTCTAACATGTAATTGCTATTGCAAAACTACCTGGTCTTAGATTATTTCAGGTATATGTGGGGGCCCTAAACAATACTTTCCTAATCAAAATAAAAAAAATGGTGCATTCTGCAATATGAGACTCTATACAGACTTAAGGATTAACTCCCTCCTTTGAAGAAAAAAAAAATGTAATTATGTATAACAAGTATTTAGTATTTTCATAGTCCACAAAAGTTATTTAAAATACAACGGTATAGTTACCTTTAGCCCTCTTGCCATGTTCAAAGCAACTTTTAAAATTACAGCTGCTGGAAAGGCATCCTGGCTGTCTTTATTTCGCTCCTCTATTAAATCATTTAGAGACTTTTCACCTCCATACTCCATAGCAAGGCACAGACTGCCATCACTGGCTTCAGTAAAAGCACGATAACCTCAAGAAAACAGAACATGTCTTTTTTACAGCACTGTGATTGAAAGCATGAATCTGGACTAATACTAACAAATATACGATGAAACAGCTATTATTTACAAAACTAATTCAGTAGACCAAATTTTAAATGCCTTCAGTGGTTGCCACTAGTAACACAAATTAAAATATTTTTTTTATACTCTGTGCCTCCCYGAATAAAATGATTTTGCCATTAAATGAAGATCATTTTAAAAGGACAGCACCATAATGACTACATCCCCATGAAGATTTTTATGAGTTTTTTTTCCCCCCTTCAATCCAGGGTTTCTCTACCACTAAGCTACATCTCCAGTCCTTTTTATTTTAAGACAAGATCTCCCTAAGTTACCAAGGCTGGCCTTGAATATACAATCCTCCTGCCTCAGCCTCCAGAGTTCCACAGCATGTGCCCCTGCACTAGGGCAGAATTTTTTTTTTTAGACTGTCCACATTAATTTGATTCCTGACAACCTTCAGCCCCATTCTCTTCATTTTGATTAGTGAAACCAGTTAAAGTATTTATACTATTTCTGGATGTAAAGAATAATAATATTCCACGTACTGGTAACAAATTTAAAACTTACCTACAATGTTTGGATGATGAAGACTTTTCAAAATCTTAGCCTCATCAATTAGTCTCTTTTGATATATACTCCGATAATCATCACTACAGATGGGATTAATCTTTTTTACAGCCCAAGGAGAATGAGACAAACCTCTTGGAGATCTAAAATAAGTAAATATATATGTATGTATATATTAATAAAAAATAGTATTCGAATGAATAAAGACCCACAACACATTTTCAAATATTAAATTTTGAAAGACTTGACTTGACAGTAAGTGTTTTTAAAAAATATTTAAGGGACTGGGACTGTAGCTCAGAGGGAGAGTATTCGCCTCCCATGTGTCAGGCACTGGGTTCGATCCTCAGCATCACATAAAAATAAAATAAAGATATTGTGTCCACCTATAACTAAAAAAATAAAAATTAAAAAAAAATATTTAAAATATTTTAGACTATCAACACCTCTGCTACATTTCTCTTGCAACTAGAACATATGAGAAGATGAGAGAAATCTGTTGATGGAACAACAGAGATGGAATAAAAAAAGACAAGGATAGACTGTTATAAACTATCTAAAATTATAAATTTTTAAGATGGACATAAGTCTGTAACCCAGCAATCTGGGAGGATCCTTGGGAGGACCACAAGTTCAAGGCCAGCTTCAGCAATTTAGCAAGGGCCAAAGCAACTTAGTGAGACCCTGTCTCAAAAACTAGAAAGGGCTGGGGATGTGGCTCAGTGGTAGAGTGCCCCTGGGTTCATTCCTGGTACCAATAATAATAATAATAATAACAAAATATATGTATACACACACACATTTTAAAATTGGAAACTRCTATTTTCTATGTTTTCTCTTCTAGCATGTCATAACCAAATGCTTATTAAACATATGAATCAGAGATGAGTTACAGAATGATAACATAATAAATATTAAACCTTAAGAAATTTAACTTGAAGAGAAGTTAAACAAAAACACTTGGGGGGCTGGGGTTGTGGCTCAGTGGTAGAGTGCTCACCTAGCATGTGTGAGGCCCTGGGTTCGATCCTCAGCAAAGGGGAGGGTATGTAGCCAAACATGGAAGTTTGTGAATAGGCCCACGTATATTTACACTATTACACCTGTAATCACAGTTTATCAGGAGGCTGAAACAGGTGATGCCCAAGCTCCAGGCCAGCCTGGGTAACTTACCAAGACCCTGTCTCAAAAAATAAAAAGGGCCTGGGAAATAGCACAGGTAGAAGGGCCCTGGCTCCATCCCCAGTACTGAAAAAAGATGTAGACTGAACCAAAGATATAGTTAGCTTTGTACTCTCACAGGCATAGCACTGCATTGCAGAACTCTGTTCAATGGAAAATCCTGTACTCAAAAGAATCATAATATTTTTAAATTCATATATATCTATTATCCATAAGTTTATCTAAATTGTTTTTAAACTTCCAGGTTTGGGGGGTTTTTGTTCGATTGTTTTTGTTTTGTTTTGTTTTGTTTTTGGTACCAGGGAATGAACCCAGGGACATTTTACCACTGAGCCACATTCCCAGCCCTTTTATATTTTATTTAGAGACAAGGTCTCACTGAGTTGCTTAGGGCCTTGTTAAGTTGCTGAGGCTGGCTTTGAACTTGCAATCCTCCTGCCTTGGCCTCCCAAGCCACTGGGAATGCAGGGATGTGCCACCATGCTCAGCTAAACTTAGTTTTAAATAACAGCAGCATTTGAGGGGAACCTCTTCCATATCATTTTATGGTAAAAAAGCTATTTCTCAAGTTTCAGTGTTACCCTCATAGCTCTTGAATGTTTAGACTCTAGAGAGAAAGTCCATCCTCTCCTTTTCCATACCTACTCTGAACTACAGAATAACAAGAACAGATTTATAAAATCTGAATAAATACTTGGCTAAGCTAAAAGTTGATTCATTAAGAATAATAAAACTGACAAATTTCTGATGAGATTATGCAAGGAAAAACAAAAGGTAGCATAAATAATACTTCAAATAAAAATGGGGACATGACTACAGGTATAGTAGAAAATTTTTAAAATAAATACTAAAACTTTTTGCCAATAAAAATGGATGTTACTAGAAAAATGTTACTAGAAAAATCTAAGAAAACTGATTAAAGAAAAAAATTACTCAGTAGCTTAAAATCTTCCTATGAGAAATATGAAGCACAGATGATTTTATAAGTGAATTTACTAAACTCTCAAGAAATCCGCCGTTCAATCTCATACAAACTATTCCCCAGAAAATGAAAAGTAAAGGGACTCTAAGTCTAATATAACTTTCCCTTTTAAAAAAATCAAAAGAGAGCAGAAAAAGGAWAATCACAACCAACTTCACTTATATATACTTATAGAACAAAAATTTCTAGCAAATATTAACAATCTATCAATTTATTTAATAATAATCAAAATACATTGGATAGTTTAGGAATTCAAACTTGATTTAACATTTAAAAATATAAACTTCCTGATTAAAATAATAGCTTACACACATGTATATGCCAGGGATGGTACCACATGGTACCATGTGGTAAAAAAGTGACTCTAATCCCACTGACTCTGGAGGCTGAGGCAGGAGGATCACAAGTTTAAGGCCAGTCTCAGCAATATAGTGAGGCCCTAAGCAAGACCCTTTCTCAAAATAAAAAGGGCTGGGGATGAGGCTCAGTGGTTAAGCATCTCTGGGTTCAATCCCCAGTACCAACAAATAAATATATGCCAAATAGCTGTTTTAAGACATACCCACTTACAAATACCAGAAGAGGAGACCAGAGCAACTCAATTTCAGAAGCTAGAAAGTAACTGACTTAAAAGACCTAGTGAAGGGCTTGAAACATGATGTTCAAAGCAGGGGGATTCCTATACACCAGTCCCAGTTCCATCCCACTGGGCAGTCCCCAGCCCCTACTTCTCCTAGAGACCTGCTTTGGGAGGAGGTAAAACAGAGGGTCTTTAACCTTTGGTTTACTAGCAGTTGAAAACATGAGACTCAGGTAGGAACAGGGTAGTAACTAATATCATAGGCATACTAAGTGCTCAGTGAGTTTTTACATGTGTATACATCTGTTATCGATATCCAAGACACAGAACACATCTACAACCTCAAAATACTTGGATGTTATTTTTAAGAAAGATAATGAAAATCAAGATTTAAAAAATGAAAAACTCAACTGAAACCTTGGAAGATAAAGTTGGGGAAATATCCCAGAAAACAGCAAAAAGACAAGATAACCAGATTACACACAAAACTGTTGACATCTATATTACTGATAATTAGCACCATACTTATTCAATTACTTCGTTTCTAACACAATTTCCTACTTTAAAATCATGTATTTCCTCCTCTTAATAACAACGCCATAAGAAAGAAAGCCCTTTTGACTTCTTTTAGAAGGAAAGATCCTGAGAAGGCAACTCACCAGATAGAGGAAGTTATCAGTCACTATCATTTTCAAGCAATGGCTTCCTCTTTGAGGTTTACTTATTGAAAATCTTATGTTAATACTACAAAGGAATACCTTTCCTCTGTCACTTCCCCTTCTTATAGAAGCCAAGGAAAAATTAAAAGGTAAACTACTTCCTCTTAAATAATTCATCAGGAGTAAGCTACAAGAAAAGTATACCAGGCAAGAGCTGGAAGTTATTGCATTCTAGGGATTGGGATACAGCAGTCAGGCAGGACAAGAAACATAGCCTAAAGCCACATATTTGAATTTTCATATTCCTTTTTTGTTTCTGAGTTCCATATAAAACGGTTAACCTGAAATTTTATACTCACCTCTTCATTAGGTAAACATTTACCCCAGTCCCAAAGCCAAGCTTCTGCATAAATGGAGAGGCAGGGATAGTTACATATGGAGTTGAACATAACACTAAATGTTGGAAAAAGAAACAAAAATAGAATTAGTATGTGAAAAAGCTAATAAAAGCATCCTAATATTCTAAAAATATTGTCATTAAGACTATTAATTGGCATAATCTTTTTGGAGAGCAATTATAGTTATCTATCCTAATCTTAAATGGATACCCTTTGACCATGCCTACATTMACCCTGAAGCAGACGTCAGTAAATTGTCTTGTGTTTCTATGGTCCACAGACTAAGAATTTTTTCCAAATTTTTAAAGGGTTGTTAAAAAATAAAGAATATACAACAGAGTTCATGTGTGGCCCTCCAAGTCTAAACTATGTACTAACTGCCCTCTGAGAGAAGGGAAATAAATGAAATATAAATATATATATTTGAATATTGGTGTTTGCTGCTGGGTTTTTTTTTTTTTTTTTTTTTGGCACTGAGGATTGAACCCAAGGATGCTCCACCACTGAGCTATATCCCTAGCCCTTTTTATGTTTTATTTTGACATGGGGTCTCATGAGTTGTTAAGGCTGGCCTTGAACTCAGCCAAAAAAAAAAAAAAAACAACAAACAAACAAACAAAAAACACAACCCTCAGTGATCACCATCAGAAGCCTAATTAACAATATACATTCCAGAGCATTATTGTCTTTAAAAAGATGTGATAAAGGAGTTCTACTTCTGCTCATGAACAATTACTGCTCTTGAAATGACCATCTCATCATGGACAACAGAACACCTGACACAATACAATGGGTTTTACATGTGACGACAGGCAGAGGAGGTCTGCGTTCTCTGAGAGAAGAGAAAGAAATGAAGGGAGCCCTATATAACTGCCCTGATTTTATGCATAAAGGCTTTTTCCAGGCTGCAACATAAAGGAAACACAGCCTGGCAGTCTTGTAAAACTATGGAGATAGAGATCAAAGAGACCTAGGCGACTGGAATTTGTAGARCAGAAAACCAAAATGGAAGGAGCTAGAAAAAGAGTGCTCTGAAGATCTGGCAAGATCTCCCAGTGAGTACTTGGCTAAGTGCTCATCTGCAAACACAATGGGTAGTTACATATGGAAAGCCAGGAAAGAATTGACTAATTACTAGAAATCCCACAATTCTAGGAATGAATTCACTTTACCATAAGTCAGAATGTAGTAACTCTAGTCACAACTTGGTAGCACAGCTACCTTTTAGCCCAACAAGAAAAATCTATTAAAAAACTTAAAAGCAAGTCTCAAAAGGAACAGACTAACATGCAGGTGAGTTAACTTTAGGCCTTAATGAAATCAAACAGTCTAAAAGAATAACAAAGTCCAGCACTAAAAGATGTGAAATATAAAAAATTACCAGYCATGAAAGAAGCAGGAAAATATGTCCCCCAAATGTGTCCCATACCAGGGGAAAAATAAACCAATAAAAACATACCATCAAATGACAGGGATGGTGGAATTAATGACAAGAAATCTTAAACATATGTTAAAAATGCACTTAATGATGTAAAGAAAACTCAAAAGAATGAAAAATGTAAGAGATAAGAATAACCACCTTAGAGTCTAAGAAAGGTGAACAGAAACTGAAGATACAGCAACACACACTACCAAAAATGAAGCAGAGGAGAGCAAAAAAAATCAGTGAGCTATGGAGCAATAGCAAAATAGATTTAAGTTCCATAATTTATTAAGTATAAATGGTCTAAACAGTATTATCCAATAAACCCTGCCACAAGAAAAATATTCTGTATTTATGCTGTTCAGTACAGAAGTCGCTACCCAAATGTGGTTACTTAGCACTAAAGAGTGTGGCTAATATAAATGAGAAACTAAATTGGTGATTTTATTTAATTATGATTAACCTGAATCCAAATTTTAAATAGCCCCATGTGGCTAGTGGTGAAATTGTCTAACTTAGGGTGGAAGTTGTCAGAATGGATAAAAACAAAACTATATAACATTATTATAAAATAAACTCACTTTTAAATATAAAAACACAAATAAAAGGTTGGAAAGCATATACCATTCAAACAATAATCAAAATAAAGCTGGATGGCTCTGTTATTATCACATAAAATGGGCTTCAAAACAGAGTATCACCTAGGATAAAGAAAGGCATTTCATAATAGTGAAGTGGAAAATTCATCAAAATAAATAACTATCCTAAATGTGTACTGTAATGGTTAATTTGAATTGTCAACTTGATTGGAGTAAGAGATGCCAAAGATTAAGAGGATTGCAGGTGTGTCAGTGAGGGTGTGTCTAGGAATGATGGGCATGTGGGATAGCCAACTGAAATGGAGACCCTGCCTTAAGTGTGGGCAGCACTGACCAATAAGATGATGGCTTGGATGAAATAAAGTTTGAAGAACAAGGAGGCAGCCACAGATGCAAGCTCCAGTCTTCTAGAATGGGTTCTGGATTTCTGCTGCCATCATCAGAGGATATTGGACTCTTGCTTCTTCACTCTTCCAAAGCAGTCTCTGACAGTGATTCTCCAGAAGCCTTTGGTCTCAGACTAGGGTAACACCATTGATCTCTCTGGGTCTGAGGCTTCAGCCTCTTGGACTGCACAGCTACTGGTTCTTCCAGCTCTCCAGCAGGTGGCCATTGTGGACTATCCAGCTTCTGGTTACTTAATCCAACCTAATAAGTCTCCCTTTTAGAATTATACTTCCTGTTGATTCTGCTCCTCTAGAGAACCCTGATTAATACATGTGTGTGTACTTAACAACAAAGCTTAAAAATACATGAAGCAAAAACAAATAGAACTGAAGGGAGGAAAAACAGACAAATCCATTATTGTAGTTGGAGACTTCAATATTCCTCTCTCATTAATTAAGACTAAATACAGAAAAAAATCAATAGGGATATAAAAGACCTGAATAAAACATATAACAGTTCATCCAGATTGACCTAAATGACATGAATAGAACACTGCATTCAGCAACAGGTGCAGCATTCACCCAGACAGATGAACCTCAAGTCCAGTTGATTAAGGCAAAAAAGAAAAAATATATAAAATACCAGCATCAGAAAGCAAAAAGGGCAGAAGGGTAATCAGTGTATCACTAATAACTTTATGCCAATAATCTGACCATTTAGAAGTAACAAATTCCTTGAAAAACACTAATAAAGCTCATAAAGGAAAAAACAGATTACTTGACTAGCACTATATATATTAATTGTGAAATCAGTTAAAATCTTCCTATGAACTAAGAGTAGTTGCACACACCTATAATCCCAACTACTTGGGAGGCTGAGGCAGGAGCATGAATACAGCAAATATCAGCATATCAAGTCACGTAATAGATAAAATACATCTCAACAAAAGTGATTTTACCCCAGGAATGAAATGCTGATTTAACAATAGAAAATTAATGTAATTTGCCACATATAATGCATTGCAAGCAAGGCAGATATGTCCACTAACACTTTTTTGTTAATTCAGTACTGGGGATTGAATCCAAGGGCACTCTATCACTGAGGTATATCTCTAATCTTTTTTATACTTTGAGACAAGGTATTGTGAAATGACAAGGCTGGCCTCAAATCTTCCTGCCTCAGCCTCCCAATTAGCTAGGATTGCAGGCGTGTGTCACTGTTTCTGGTTGATTTTAATTTTTATGACCTGAGTTAAGGGTCAATGTTCATTATTTGCATATAGAGACCCAATTGTTTGTTGAAAAGATTTCCCTCTGCCCATTCTTTCCCTCATAAGGACATGTAAGGAAAGGAGAAAGGTAAAGCAATTCCTTAATGGTTTAAGCTAAGTTGATTCTTTACCAGCCAAAACCTCGATAGCTGTTAGAATGTTAATAAATTAGTCCATAGATAACCAAACCCTGTTCTATTAAATAAGTCTTATTAACATTATAAACGAGACATGCTAGAACCGTGCATGAAAGATAGTAAAAGAACAAACTAAAACAATACTAAGACATTTCTAGAAACATCTCATTACATCTGCTATCTTACCAGATTTCCTTTTTTCAGATAATTTGCTTGGTGTCTTGAAATTATCAGTTCCTTCCATTGTAACAACCTCTCTAGGTCCTATGATAAAAATGTTACACAGCAGTTACAAAGAGTACAACTTTCACTGATGTAGAAAAATTCCTGTAACATTACTCATTTTATAATATGAACATAAAATCTGAAAACTAAAAAAGACCTCAACAAATATTTAGTCCAATTTTATTTACAATAAGTAAACTGAAAGCCAAAGGTACAGTTGTTACCTGTGTTCACACTATTGGTATTGTGTGTGTGTGATGGGGGGGGGTATTTGTTAATCATAAAATATAAGAACTTGATTAAAGAAACTAATAATGCACTTGATTAAAGAGAACATTAGTTCAAAAAGGTAAAAAGTATGTCTTCCTCTTACATGTCCCAAGTTGTAAACAGTTATCCCATGCAGGAAAACTGTCTATGCAAACAATATTCTTCATACTAGCCACATAGATGATGAATATATAAATGTGGTATATGCACACAAAGGAATATTACTCAGTCATAAAAACAAATAAAGCACTGATATATGCAATATAAATGAACCTTGAAAACATCATGCTTGGGGCTGGGTTTGTGGCTCAGTGGTAGAGCGTGCACCTTGCACATGTGAGGCACTGGGTTCAATCCTCAGCACCACATAAAAATAAAGATATTGTATCCATCTACAATTTAAAAAAAATATTTAAAAACAATCATGGTAAGTGAAAGAAAGTGCACACAAAAGGCCACATATTTGGACATGATGATCCCACGCACAGAAAATATCCTGATTTCCCAATGAGCAGACTGTGGTTAAAAATAAGTGAGCACCTGGAGAAAATAGGAGCACCAGAAATAGAGAATAAAAGCTCACCTTTACATGCCACACTCGACAACTAGGTGAAAATGTGAAATAAATGGACATATTTGTGTACATAGGATATATACCTGGAATCCAATAGCTGAAGACAAAACATTTGTGGGATACCAGCACAGAGGTGGCACTAAAGGCAAGAGAGTAGGTGAGACCACCCAGGACATCAGTGTAAGAAAAGGCCACCGGTGCAGGCCCTGGCAAGTCGAGTGAGTGACCCGGGAAGTCTCACTGCCAATAAAAACCACTTGATTTTAATACAAATAATTTCACATTTCATTATTTTCTTGAGACACTGGAGAACTCAGTCACACCTTCCGTACTTAAGGCTATTTGCACCTAAATATACTGTGTGTCCTCCATTCACAGTTGTCTGACTAATCCCGGCGGCTCGGGAGGCTGAGGCAGGAGGATCGCGAGTTCTAAGCCAGCCTCAGCAAAAGCAAGGCCCTAAGCAACTCGGTGAGACCCTGTCTCTAAATAAAACACAAAATGGGGCTGGGGCTGGGGCTGGGGCTGGGGCTCGGTGTCAAGCGCCCTGAGTTCCATGCCACCCCACAAAAAACCACGGTGGCTCTTTTAGAAGGCGACACACGGGAAACGGCGGCACGGGGCCGCGGCGGAAGGCGCACTCGGTGGAGTGCTCTGAAGGAGCTGTGCCGGGAAGTCCCCAGGGCTCGCTCGACAACAGGCCTGCGGCCCGGACGCCCGCACCCGGGGGCCCCGCGCGGCTGCCCGCGCGCCGCCCGCCCAGCTCAGCCGAGGGCGGCAGCAGGAGGGGGAGAGGAGGGAATGGGAGAGGGACTGGCGGGCACGAGAGAAGGGAGGGGGCGCGAGGCAGCCGGGGTGCGGGCACCTGCGGTCGTCGGCCTGGCTCCCCGCGAGGGGTCCGGGCCCAGGCGCCGAGCGCCCCCGCAGACCCGCCGCCCTGCCGCAGCCGCGCCCACGGTCCTTCCCGCGAACGCGGCCGCCCCGCGCGCTCACGCAGCCCAGTGGAGGAAGAGAGCGCCCACCCGGCAGCCGAGCAGCGCTTACGGGGTAAGGACCGCGGCGGACGCGCAGGGGGCTCTGCAGTCGGCGCCGCGCCGCTCCCCTCGGCCGGACCCGGACCTGCCGTTGCGCTTTGACCGCGCGTCACTTTGAAAAGGCCGCGCGCGGCCCAGAGCTACGGAGGGCGCGAGGGACAAAACGCGCCGGCCGCGCCCGTCCCCGCCTGGCGCCCTTTGGGTGCGCCTCCTGGTGGGACCGACTGAGGAACGGGAGGAAGGGAAACGCAGGAAAGGACAGACTGAGGTGAAGCCACTGTCCTTAAGTGTTTGGAASGTTACGTCTAGACTCAGAGGAACAGCCATTTTTGGCCGAGAAGAAAAATAAATATTCAGTAGTTCTGCTGACTCTTGTGATGACCAGATTCAGTTCAGCCTTCACTCATGTATTTACCCAGGTACTCACTGTGTGCCCGGTGTGCACTGACTCTCCATTCCTAGGGCGATTCGTGGTTGTCACTACAAAAGACAGAAAGATGGTGAACTCACAGAATGCTCCCCGTCCTGGAAGGGGTTAAAGTCTGTGAGGGTGAAAGATGGGAAGTGTCCTAAGAACAGAACACACACACACACACACACACACACACACACACACACACACAAGAGATTAGAGTCCTTTTGTAAGGGGACACCAGTGTGCTCCATGTTCAAAAGAGTGTGACCTCTTCAGTTTGGAAGAAGTCAACTCACTTGAGGTCTAGAAAGAGGATTGCTTGTTTCCTAAGATTTTATCACATAGTGACAAGACATGTATTTATTCGTGTGCTTGTGTGCATTTGAACACATGCWTGCACACAGCACTGCCTTTTTTACTTCTGACCTTCAGAAAGTTCCCCAGCCCACTTTGAGGCATGTTTTATAATTATAGACAGACCATTCTACCTGTAAGTGGGTGACAGCCTGTAAGAAACAGATGCTCTTCATGTACCTTCATCTACCACCACGAATCACAATTTGTGGGGAGGGTGGCTACTGGGGATTAGACCCAAGGGCGCTCAACCACTGAGCCATATCCCCAGCTTTTTTTTTTTTTATTATTTCACAATTTTTTAAGAGGGAAGAGAAGCTTTTCTACGTTTATGTTTAATTTGTGCCAGATCAATCAAGAAGAATTTATTGATTATTCCATGTTCTGTGTTGTTAAGCAACTGTTGGGGGTGGAGGGAAGAGAGGCAGCAAGGAGACTAACAGGGTACCCARTGAGTGGGCCCTGGCATTTTTCTTCCCCCACCCACTCCAGCTACTTAAAATAAGTGGAATTTATTCAGAGACTCTTGCTCAGCTTCCTCCCTTCAAAGTCATATCCACTGTATCTGTTTTTACCTTCCTTCCTGGCCTCAGGAGAAAAGGTCCTTCCTCCTGCCTAAGGTGATTCTTCAAGACACAGCCCTACCCTTCCCACACTGCATCCAAATCACTCCTCTCACCTAAGACTTTGCCTTCACCCCCTTTAATGGTTCTTTTTCTTCTAAATCAAACCACATGTACTTGGGACAGTGGCACATGCCTGAAATCCCAGCAACTCAGGAGGCCGAGGCAGGAGGATTGCACATTCAAAGCCAGAGTCAGCAATTTAGAAAGGCCCTAAGCAACTTAGACCCTGTCCCAAAATAAAAAGTAAAAAGGGCTGGGGATGTGGCTCTGGGTTCAATCCCCAATACAAAAAGAAAAAACTCAAACAACAGTAACTGTCATGAGTGTGCTATGCCATTAACATAAATGAAACACTTTGGTGTCTTTCCACAATGTCAGAATTTATTGAATAATATTATGGTTTGGATGTGAAGTGTCCCTGCAAAAGCTCACGGGTGAGAAAATGCAAGAAAGTTCAAAGGAGAAATTATTGGGTTGTGAGAGTCTTAACCCAATCAGGGAATTGCTGTCTGATGGGATTAATTGAGTGGTGACTGGAGGCAGGTGGGGTGTGGCTGGAGGAGGTGGGAGCATTGGAAGTGGCTTTGGGGTATATATTTGTGTCTGGTGAGTCAAGTCTCTTCTCTCCCCACCCTACCCCCTCCTCCCCTGTTCTCCACTCTTTCTCCCTCCCTCCCTCCCTCCCTCTCCCTCCCTCCCYCCCCCTCTCTCTCTCTCTCTCTCTCTCTCTCTCTCTCTCTCTCTCTCTCTCTCTCTTCCCCCCCCTTTCTGATCATCATATGAGCTGCTTCCCTTTTCCACACTCTTCTGCCATGATGTCCTGCCTCACCTTGAGCCCCAAGGAATGGAGCCTGCTGTCAGTGGATGGAGACCTCTGAAACTGTGAGCCCTCAAATACACTTTTCCTCCTCTACAGATGTGCTGGTTGGGTCATTTAGTCACAGATTGAAAAAGCTACATTTGAAAACAAATCACAGTAAATTCACGTCGTAGCCTTTCCTCAGGCAGGTCACTGGATACTTGTGGGCCGGCCGCCTGGTCATCATAAGCTGGGCAAACACAAGGTCCTTTATTCTAATCTCAACTTCTAATATCTGGAACACCCAAGTCACACATACTCCAAATAATGAGATACAAATAGGTCACAGAAAGTCAAAGCAGCCACAGGGTTTCAGGATGCTGTGTCCACGAGCACAGGCAGAGAGAGATGTGGAGGCAGAGTCAGAGTCACTGTGGGCGGTCAGATAAGGACCTGAACCTACAGGGTTGCCAAAGCAGAGGGTCCAGAGGAGCAGCAGTTWCTGTTTCAGAGCGTCCACTCAGGTTTAAGCTGGGAGTTCGCCTTGCGTGGTCGTCACAGGCGGGAGAACCGCATTTTGCTGAAGCCCAGTGGAGACAGGAAATTGGAAGTTCATCACTGCGTCAGCTTTCACAGGCGAGGCCCATAATGAGGGACCTGATGACAAGGTCAAGGTACTGAAACTGGACTTGAAAATCAGACTCGGGTCCTTGTTTCCCCAGTGTTGAAGATTAAAACCCAAGAAATACTCAGGCAAGAAAACAAGTTTTATTTAAAGGATAGGAGGGAGGGAGGGAGGGAGAGAGGGAGGGAGAGAGAGAGACTGATTCTCCTCCAGGGAAAAGGGGATCCAGGGCTGGTGCCCAAGGGAGTGAGGGCGTCTTGTCCCTTATTGATATCAAGTTTCCTTTCTTCTCATGCCCCCTCCTCCTACTCTGCCTATGCGACCAAAAGTGACCAAAAGGGCAGGAAGA